CAATGGAGTTGTTTCAAGACTGGTCTGTAAAACACAGACATACATTCATAATTAATTACAACTAAATGAGAGATGACTAAAACATTCTGGCCAAATCCAGTTTCCCAATGAAGCTGACAACTTAGCTAAAGGTGTGTTAAAGTACTCCTGGCTACCTCCATCATCTGGCCTTCCAAGGACAGTGGTGGCAATCAGTTTAAGTTGTTACTTTTAAGAGTTGCCTGAAGCCGTTTCTATAAATTAGTATGGTAAAAAAGGAGGAGGAGGATTCAGGCAGTCCATACATCAGTCCTGAATGCAAGTTGTCCATCAGTGTCTTCATTTGGTTAAGACTAATATGACGCACTTGTTGGAGAAATAATCACTAAAGAATGTAGACACTCTGTCCATCTGATCATCAATTGTAGTGTACATTCCATTCCTTTCCTTGATGTGAATCAAGTATACAATCACAGTGCCTATAGCACTAATGCCCCCACCCATATCTCTTAACGGCTTGCCAGCACACAAATATGTGACAATACAATACTGCAAGTTGCCATCTGCAATAACCATCTGCAAATCATGTTATTCCATTTCTTTTGTGAGCACAATTCTCCCACCCAGGATGTTTCTCAAATTCTCAGCTAGGCCTCTCTGCATCTTCCCTCTAAAAGTGAGGACAAAGCTGCATACAGCAGTCTCATCCTATATATGGGGGATATATTCCAAGGCCCACAGTGAATGCCTGAAGCCCTATACTTATGTTTTTGGACAGTGGGTAACTGAAATCACAGAGAGCAAAACTTCAAGGGGACTATTATACCTTTATTTTAGAATAAATAAAATGTATTGTGGGGGAAGGTGGGAGGGGTGTGTGCATGTGCTGCTCTTCTCCCCCCCATGTGCACACCCTTCCCACCTTCCCCTGTGCTTTTGCTGGCTGAGGGAAGCATATAAAGGGGGAGAGGAGGAGGAGGTTGAGCAAGGTATCAGGAATGGTGAGAGCTGAGGAAGAGAAGGATAGGGTTAAGCAGGAGAAAGCAGGCTGAAAGGACAATATAGTTTTTTATTTTTTTTTTTAAAGGAAAAGTAGAGAAGTATCAAAAATCAAGTGGGGCTCCATAAAAGATTCTTGTCCTTCAGGAGCAGTAAACAGGAAAAGGCTGAAGACATTAGGGGATTGTTCCCTCACACGGATAAGGGTGAGGGACTACTTCACTACTTACTAGGAGTGAATGGGGAGGAGCAACTCAAGTTCCAGGATGTTCCATCCTTATCTACTGGGGAAAGCAAAGGTGTCACTATCTCAGCCACCCATGTAGAAACACACTAGTGTATTTAAAGGTATACAGGTATTTATTTCAATTTAATAGCACTTCTAGAATTGTTTAACAAGTTCATATAATTAATCATTAAACTAAGTTATTCCTATTTCAGGGAAATGGAGCTGGGCTCAGCAAGCAACAGACTTAGCTCATTATGTGCCTTGGAACTATCAAGAGTGAAATTTAACTCTCATCCCCTGTATTTCATTTATGGCCATACCTAGGATCAAACATTGACCAGAATTGTGACTGCAGTAGAAATAAGAAGAATGGGAATGGGAACGGCAGCTATGAAAGAACAAGATCCTAAAAGGTAGACATACAACTGAGCATTAAAGTCAGAATCATTTAGGCCACTGTATTCCCCATTACCATGTATAAGATGTGAGAGCTGGACAGTGAGGGAAGCAGCAGAAAGGAAATCAATTCATTCAAGATGTGGTGCTGGAGAAGAGTACAGTACTTAAAATACCATGGACTGCCAGGAAGACAAATAAAATGGGCCCTTTAACAGATAAAACCAGAGTTCTCCTTGGAAGCCAAGATGATCAAGTTGAGGCTAGCATACGGTACTTTAGCCACATAATGAGAACAGCAAGCAAGTACATTTCTATACCGCTTATCAGTGCATTTAAGTACTCCCTAAGCGGTTTACAATGTGTAAGTTAATTTTCCCCAACAAGCTGGGTACTCATTTTAGTGACCTCAGAAGGATGCAAGCCTGAGTTGAGCCTGAGCCCCTGGCTGGTACTGAACTCACAACCTTATGGTTTTTGAGTGAGTGGCTGCAGTACAGGCATTTAATCACTGTGCCACCAAGAAAAAACAATGTTATGAAAGATAGAGGGTAGAAGAAGGAGAGGAAGACTGCAGACTCCATCAGTGAGGTTACAAGCATGGGCTTGCAGGAGCTGAGCAGAACAATGGAAGATAAGGATACTTGGAGATGTCTCATCCACAGGGTCGCCATGAGGCAGAATAGACACAAGGGCAGCTAATAACAAACTAATCCTGATATGTAATAATCATACAGAAATCTAAATTAATTTACATTACTTTTACATCCTACACATCACCATTTTATATCTGTGCAGTTTTTCTGCCACATGACAAAACCTAATCATGTGATAAATGCACTCATATTCTGGTCATTTAAAAAAAAACATGCTTTTAGTCAGCCCATCTTGTGAACATATTGCAAAGTTGCCCAGTTACACTTGCCAGGATCTTTATGACAGGTTTGTTGTTTCCATACTGTGAGTGTGAGAAGCTCCAGCCTTTCCAACAGCCTTTTGCTGCTATGTAGCTCTGGTCAGTACTTGGATGGGAGACCATCATATGCTGTAGGGTATATTTCAGAGGAAGGAAATGGCAAAACCACCTCTGGGTCGTCTTTGCCTATGAAACCTATGGGGTTGACGTGTGACTTGAACCACATACCTATGTACCCCTCCAACTCATGGTGACCCTATCACAGCTGCAGAAACAAGCCACAACCATTCTCACAGATGAAGGCAGGGGGTGGTCCCTAGACTGCCTGAGGTGTGCAGAGTATCTTGATGGTGCAATGCCAAACAAGAATCTGTTGGCCCTTGCAGGTCTAAAACTGGAGGGAAGGGGGGAAGAGAAAAGCAAAGACACAGTGCAAGGTCAGGGACAAGAGGGGGAAACGGTCCAATCAACAACACTTTTTGACTGAACTACCCATTAAAACCATATGACTTTGGTCCAGGCTATCTGAAGGACTATATGAAACCCACTGGGGGACCTTGGGCATGTCACATGCTCTCAACCTCAGGGGAAGGCAATGGCAAACTTCCTCTGAACAAATCTTGCCAAGAAAACTCCATTGTAGGTTTGCATTAGGGTTGTCATAATTAAGAAATGACTTGAAAGCACACAACAGCAATCTTCTACATGAGCCCAATGGGGTTTTAAGATACCTGGAGAAGCCCTCATCTCTGTCCCACCATCTTCTCAGGCTCATCTGGTGGAACAAGGGAGAGGGCCTTCTCTGTGGCTGCTCCCAGACTTTGGAACTCACTCACTAGAGACGCCAGACTGGTCCTACTCTTGTTCCTCTTCTGACGACAGATGAAAACATTTTTGTGCCACCAGGCCTTTACAAACCGTTGAGGTTGGCCACTTAATGCTATGTGGTGCTGGTTTTAAGGGTCTGTATATAGGTTGTTTTTTTAAATATATATTTTAATACATTTTAATATTTTTATTGTTTTAAGATATGTTTAATTTTGTTGAAAACAAAAATTCTTTTTATCCCATCTTCAAGGCCAGTAGGTCTTAACCTATGGTCTGCGGACCCCCAGAGGGCCTGCTATGCACTCATAGGGGGTTGGCAAAGGTTTGAAGGCTGCTCAGACCACCAACTCCACGCCATGGAATGACCAAGTGACAGGATCCAAAGTAAAGGCTGGCAGACTGGGGCTGCACATTGTCTGCCACATGGCCACTCCACTGTGGGGAGGAGACAAGCTGAGCAATAGCAGAGCTGTCAGCCAGCCAGCCTTTGCCCTTTTCTCACTCCCTTCCCTCCTTTCCAGTTGGGAGTGGCCTAATCTTCTGTCACAAACTGTTTCAACACTTCC